ATTTTTTTCTGTTCATTGCCATCATCATTGTCCCTGAACTCTGAGCCTCTTTTGAGGGAGGTTTTGGGCCAGTGCATGGTGGTATTTTCGTCTTCATTAGGCATGATTGTAAGTATGCCTGCCCGATAGCCGGGAGGCTGTAGGTTATGGTCGGCCAACTCTGTGTGGCTGGTTAGCTACACTTGACCTGTGAGACTTTACACTGACTTATTACTCAGCTTATTGCAGAGTAATTTTTTTTACTATTTATAATAACTATAGTGTCACTGGCACCTTGTCAATTAATTAATAAATTAATAAATCTTTTTCCCGAACACGGAGCAACGTGGCTTCCCGCCGAACTCCCGTTTATTAAAGCCCTGGCTATTTTGTGGCGTCTCACCTAGGCGCCCACCCTCTGTCGGCAGGTTTCTTAGCCCTGGGTTATTCAAGGCGCCGAACCCCTCGGCACCTGCCGTTTCCACGGGTGGCTTAGCTCGTTCACCGAGCACCCGATTTACCTCATGGCGTACGGCTTCCGAGATTATACTCATCAGCCGCGCCTCGAAGTCGTCCCCGAACATCTCTCTCTCTGTGTCAGGGACCTGCACTGACTTCTTGGCTCCGTCGTCCAAGGCTTCGATCATCGTTTGATCGTGCAGGCTCTCGTTCGACGACCTTTGATCTGGGAGCTCGTCAAGATTCATGTCCCACGGGACATCGAGCGTTATCGTCGCTGGCAAACGTCTCAATCGCGCTCGAAACAACCTCTCCCGGCAGATCTGTTCGCCACCTTGATCGCTCAATCTCTTGTTCCTGAGCGAAGCCATTACGTCTTCGGCCGGCATTTCCTCGACCTTGGACCACATGCCTCTTGCGGTCACATTTTGCAGAAGCATCTGCATCCGTTCCTTATAACGCTCCATTTGTGCGCGTGTTATTACTGGCATCGGCTTATTTTTGCTGACCGTTTACCAGAACTAAAATTACACACGTTGTATGATGCGTTGCCACGCTTAGCGCTGTCGCACAGTACATCCGATTTCCCTTTTTGGCTTAATACTCGTGTGCACGCACACTCGTACAATCAGATGTACTCCGTAGCAACGTAATTACTTTTTTTTCTTTCGATCGGCGTCACGTGCTCGACTTATATCCGCGCGCGACAACAATTATCTTCGCGCCCGACGTTCCTATCACGATCCCGTCTGCTACCGTCTCGCTGTCAGTGCTCGTGTACCCGAATCTGTGTCAATTCAGTACGCGCGAACGTATGTTGTTCGCTCTTGTCGACTAACAGCGATCAAGAATCTTAATACGCGCGAGCACACACATACATATACACACCGTAGACTCGCTCGCTGCGGCCAAGTGTCCGGCTGTGCTTAGCACATCTACGCGGTGAAACTACCTCACCAGAGCTTAGTGCTTGATTCTTATGAATCGTATGCACGTTGCACGCACCACAGCCGTACCTCACACGTGCATACAAACATTCCACGCATTCATCAATCAAACGACAGAAAAAAACCAATACGAGACGAGAAAAGAAAAACGTTAAATTTTATTTCGCGCGGCTCCAAATTTATTTAATTGGCGCGTACCTCGGCCATATGTCGCTCGCGTACGCGCACACGTGCCCCACTCATAGGTACGCGGCTCTCGCTAATCTTCCGCTGATTAGCGACTTAGGCCCCGCCCACTTTCCTCGCTGTGCCTGGGCCGCCTTGTACGTAGTCCGACGCGCACGCAACGTAACGTGTACATATACCCGCGCGACTAGCGACTTCTTCTCTTCTCCTACCCGCCTAATACCTGCCGAGAGATACTCGCTCTTTTCGCGCTGTGATAAATGGTAATGACCCGGTGAACTCTCGCCGACCCAAGCTTAACTCTTACGAGCGGTCGACGAGGATGACAAAAAAAATGCGTGGTAATAATGATTTACACCGAAACATTCACTATTGTATATCATACATAAATCAGTAAATTTCAATCTACATATCCAACACCTTATTCAAACATACAAGGTCGTGTTTACGCAACACACCAGCGTCAACGGTCCTCGGGCCTTTCTCTCTCTCCCCTCTCGCAGCCTAGCTGCTCACAACAATAATGAGAGAGCCTATTCAAACGGTCGGTCATCGAAACCCACGAGAACAAAAATTCTGTCTGCTCCTCTTCGCAGACGAGGTTCTCCGCCACTGTTCGGGATGCCAGCGAGCTTTTTTTATGTGCTCGCGCTGCTTCTCTGCTCCTACCGCAGCTTGCAGCTTTTTTCCACCTATCTCTACGCACACGAGAAAAAACTTTGCACACCGACCGCGCCTACTCTCTCTCCGTCTCGTACCACGATAACGGTCTCACACTCAAACACCCGGGGCAAACAAAAGCGAGGGAGAGAAAAAAAAATTATTGACCCACTACGTGACGTAGTGAGTCCCCACAAGGAATGCCATTTGTGACCTTAGTCTTACTGCCTGAACTCACGGCCCTTGTCGGCCACGCTGGTCCCTTTTGTCGTCGGTCCGTCCGTCGTGAGTTCTCCTATTGACACCTAGATAAAATAACAACACGGGGCTAGGGCTCAATCATACAATGAATATAATAACCACTAATTCAATTGATAATGCGATTTATTACTCGCAGTAGCTATACATGGCCGAGTCGGCCCGAGGAGGTCGTCGCTGGCGCTCTCGCACGGTGACGCGTCAAGCGCGAGGCCTAGACGAGGGGAAAAACACCAAAACAGAAGACTCGTTGCCCGACTCACCACCGTCGCGATCTATTATCGGGGCTTGCCGGTCCTCCAGCTGAATTCCCTCCTGCAACACAAGTAGAAAGCTGGTGAGCCTGGATGTCTCGTCGTCCCCTCCTCACGATGACGATGACTGGCCCGCAGCACACACTCTCTGCGCACTCGAGCTCTCGTCGAGCTGACCACACTCCTCACGAAGAGGCCTTAGGGTGATTACACCCGTGGAGCTCGACCAAGAGTCGACTTAGGCATCCAGAGGGTCACCCTGGATGTCGCACTCACACACAATGCGTATCGCACACACACTTACTCAAAGTTACACTCGAAAGTCGATCGCACGATCTTGCCAGTTCGTAGGCAACTGACTTGTCGTGACTCNTGATGCGTACTTTCTATATTTTCCACAAACAGCTCGATATCATGACGAATTGACCGAGATATGAGTGAATATCTTGTTTCATAACCTCAAAATAAAGTCGCTTGACCTCTCATATCTTACTCACTACTTGATGAAATCAGACAAAACTCAGCTTAAAAGATTCATACTGACTTTCTATTTTTCCTAACAATATCTTGAAAATTGACGGAGATATGTAGCTACGTGTAATAACGACAAATATTGTTCAGAGTTTAAAAGAGCTTTTTATTGAGTTCCTCTCGGTGTGGCAGTCGTAACGTAAATAACTCGGGGAGAGGAATTGATTTATCTCCCGAGCAAAAACAAAACAAAAGGCAATGTACAATCAATAGGAATATTGGATTGTACATGCAAGAACGACTTTAAGTGCGTCGCCGCACCACCCCCCTAGGCAGTACTGTACGCTAGGTAGTGGGTGCAAAATGAACATGACGAGTCCGCCGCGTAGATGATGATGGAGATGCGGGACTGGAAGCACGCGTAGAGACACAAGCCGAGACGTGTGAGGTAGTCGACGGAGGTTGATCGCCCAATAAAAAGGCGGGTTTCACACGATCCACGGAAACAGTCGTGGATTTCCCGCGGATTTTCAGCACCAATGTCTTCTCCGAACGCTGCAAAACTTCGTAAGGGCCAGCATACGGAGGTTGCAGAGCTTTCAAAAATGACCCTTCACGAAGGAACACATACTCGCAGTCCTTCAGCTCTTTGTAGACGAACACCCGAGGAGTACCGTGCCGAGATGTTGGAGTAGGCTGTAGCTGCGAGAAAATGCTCTGTAATCGAGAGACTAATTCAGACGGATCACTACCGCCAGGCAGTGCAGAGGATTTAAAAAATTCGCCCGGTTGACGTAACGGTTCTCCGTAAACCATTACAAACGGACTCCTTCGTTGAATCCTTAAGAGGGTACACTTCGGGCCAGCGGGTAAATCGATCAATAATGATCAAACAATACCTATAAGATTGAATCGTAGGCAGAGGGCCGATTAAATCAATATGTATATGCGAAAATCTCTCAGTCGGCTGCGAAAATACTCCCAACGGCGAATGAACATGTCGAGTAATTTTAGTCCTTTGGCACGGTATGCATGCCCTCGCCCACGCAGTACAGTCTTTTTGCATCGAAGGCCACACAAAACGAGCACTTATCATTTTATAAGTACTTTTCACACCTGGATGATTCAAATTGTGAATTTTCTGAAATGCTGAACGTCGAAATGGCGCCGTCAGAAAAGGTCGTGGTTTTCCAGTTGAGACGTCGCAGAAAATTGATGTTGTAGATCCAGGCAAGGTGACTCGTTGTAGTTGAAGTGAAGAATGAGGATCACCGAAAAAAGTCTTCAAGAGTTCATCGCTGTCTTGAGATTTCGATAATTCTTCGTAATTCAAAGTGGATTCGATTGCTGCCACGCATTCAATGCGAGAGAGAGGGTCCGCGACGATGTTGTCTGAACCAGCAATATATTCTATATCTGTGGTGAACTGCGATATGAATGATAACTGATTCAATTGGATCGGTGGTAATTTTTCTTTCTTGAGCGTGAATGCGTGGGTGAGTGGCTTATGATCTGTATAAATCTTGAACGAATATCCTTCCAAAATATGCCGAAAGTGTTGAACTGCTTCGTACACTGCCAAAAGTTCACGATAATATGCAGGCCAACTGCATTCTTTCAAAGGCAATTTCTTGGAAAAGAACGCCAAGGGGCGCCACCCGTGGTCGACAAATTGCTGCAAGCATGCGCCGACAGCTACGCCTGATGCGTCGGTAAAAAGGCCCAAGGGCGCTCCGACACGAGGATGAGCGAGTACCGCGTGAGAGATGATGCCCTCCTTGCAACGCTAAAAACTTTCTTCAAGCTGCGGTGACCAAGGCACCGGCTGAGAGCCTTTCAACTGAGGATTGCTAAGCGCATCGTGGAGAGGTGCTTCGAGTTCAGACGCGTGAGGAATGAAACGACGATAGAAATCGAACTTCCCGATGAAACGACGCAAACCTTGAGCCGTCTTGGGTAGAGGGTAGTCGACGATTGCTTGAATACGCTCAGCAGGGGGACGAATACCATCAGTTGATACTGTGTAGCCCAAAAATTGAACGGAGTCGAGACCAAACTTGCATTTATCAGCATTGAGAACGAGGCCGTATTCGTGTAAACGTGCAAATAACTGACGAAGATGCTGCTTGTGCTCTTCTTTGCTTCGCGAATACACAAGAATATCGTCGATATACACGTAGCAAAAGGGAAGCCCACGAGTCACTTCATCCATGAAGCGTTGGAAAGTTTGACCTGCATTTTTTAATCCAAAAGTCATAAAAGGAAATTCATACAAGCCAAAAGGTGTCGTGATTGCTGTTTTACAGATGTCATCCAGGTGTACAGGGATCTGTTGGTACGCCTTTACCAAGTCAATCGTAGAGAAAATCACACAGCCGTCGATGTCATTTGAAAAATCGTGGATATGCCTGACAGGGTAACGATCGGGTAGAGTGCGGCTGTTGAGGGAACGAAAATCACCGCAGGGTCTCCAATTATTAGCGCCTTTCCGTGCCAAATGCAGGGGCGATGACCAAGGGCTCTCCGATGGACGGCAAACACCAAGTTGTAGCATTTGATCAAATTCGTCCTTTGCGATCTTGAATTTTTCAAGAGCGAGACGACGAGGACGACAAGAAACAGACGGCCCTGGAGACGTGCGGATATGGTGCACTGTATCGTGTTTGATCGGTCGAGGCCAAACTGGTGGACGAGTGAGAGCAGGGTTATCGGCAATGATGTCGGAGAAATCGTGAGACTTCACGATCGCTTTTACACTGCATTCCATAGACGGGCACAGGTGCCCAATGGCATTGAGACCAGTCGACATATCGATTAAAAGCTTATCGCGGCAATCCGGAAGCAGATGATAATGAGCCAAAAAATCGGATCCGAGGATCGGTGATGATACGTCAGCTACGATGAATTTCCACATGAAATCTCTTCTGAGACCTAGGTTGAGTTTCAGATTTATGTATCCATAGGTCTTGATGACGCTGTTGTTGGCTGCACTGAGTTGGAGGTCCGCGACAGCATGACGGTAACGAAGAAAACGCTTCGGAAAACAGCATAAATCCGAGCCAGTGTCGACGAGGAACTGTTTCTTGGTGTAGTGATCGTCAACGAATAAGCGGCTGCTGGACGAAGGACAGTCAGTCGCCGCTACTGACTGTTTTTGCCATTTTTTACATCGCATAAACATTTCTCGGCGTCATCTCCGAAACGACGACAGTACCAGCACAAATCCTTCTGATTCTCCGCTGAACAACGGAAATTTCGGCGAAAACTTTGAGAGCGACTGCGACTACGAGCTCGCAGCTTCTCACGATGACGAAAACGAAGAGGGCTCACCTCCAGAGTTAGCTGTTTAATAGCGTCAATAAGCGAATCATTCGTGAGGCTTACTTGCTCAGAATCATGTTCAACTGCATGCACGGAGAAAAGCGGCGAGATTTCCACGATTTTATCCGCCAAGTCTGAAAGCTGCTCCAACGAAAGCTCAGGTCGAGTTGTTAACACAGTTTGGACGTGCGGGGGTAGTCGTCTCAGCCACAAATGACGTAGGAGATTCGGTTGCAACGGCGTTGGACCAGCCAGCGATTTCAGGTGTCGCAAAAATTGTGATGGCTTACGATCACCGAGCTCTTCGTCGTGCAGTAGCTGACGGACGCGCTGCTCTTCCGATGATGACAGTCGATCGATCAACTGCTGTCGTAGATGCGTGTACGACTCAATGACCGGCGGGTTGGTTATAATGTCCTCGACTTCTGCAGCAGCACGGCCGTCGAGTTGCGAGATGACATGATAATATTTCGTCAGCTCCGTGGTGATGTTGTCGAGAGCGAACTGCGCTTCTGCTTGCGCAAACCAGACAGCCGGCTTGTCTAACCAAAAGGTTGGCAAACGCACTGCTACACGGTGAACCTGAGGCGCTCCAAATCCAACGGCACCAAGATCAGCCAGCGGAAAATTTTGTTGCGGTTGAAGTCGTGGAAGGGCTCCTCCCGCTGCCAATCCTCCTGCTGCTGCCAAGCCTTCTACTGCTGCCAAGCCTCCTGCTGCTGCCGAACCTCCTGCTGATGCCAAATCCCCTGCGACGATGTCCAAAGCTTGCTGCTGCTCGAGGCGTTGCTGCTCGAGGCGTTGTTGTTCGAGGCGTTGTTGTTCGAGGCGTTGTTGTTCGAGGCGTTGTTGTTCGAGGCATTGCTGCTCGAGCTGTCGTTGCGCGTAGCGCTGATCGCGATCGTTGTCGCGGTCCAGGACCATGGCGAATAATAAATAAAATCAACGTATAATCATTATCAGGTCGGGGTAACCAAATTTGTAGCTACGTGTAATAACGACAAATATTGTTAAAGGTTTGAAAGAGCTTTTTATTGAGTTCCTCTCGGTGTGGAAGTCGTAACGTAAATAACTCGGGGAGAGGAATTTATTTATCTCCCGAGCGACGACAAAACAAAAGGCAATGTATAATCAATAGGAATATCGGATTGTACATGCAAGAACGACTTGAAGTGCGTCGCCGCAGATATAAGTCGAAATGAGCCTCAACAAGGTCAAAAAAGCGGCCTTCAAGCACCACCGATACTTGCCAATTTCACCTCAAAATAGTCATTATTTACGGAGATATGAGGGAAAATAACTTTTCATGTACATTATTTGCAATATCTCGCTAACTACTTGACCAAATCGGATGGAATTAAGCTTAAAAGATTCGTTTTGATGCGTACTTTCTATATTTTCCACAAACAGCTCGATATCATTGTTACAGTCTACGACGTAACCTTTCTCAATGAAAAAGAAATTATTAAAACTGCGAGAAGCAGCTAGCGAGCTGCTACGCATGAATTACAATTTAATGTATCTCACGTATCTCCTATGCATAACTTCATTAACACACACACGACAGAAAGTAACATCATTTCGGGCACGCGTAGCCAGCGTAAACAATGCCGAATTGAGCGGCCTAAAATCCATTACCTATTTATTAGTCCGCTGCTAAACTCTTGCGAAAATATAATTCGCACGGCAAAGAAATGAACACGCGCGGCCGCGAGTGTGAATGAATATCTGAGAAAAGCTGTAAAACTGCGGTGACCGCGACTTCACGACTTTCGGGAAGAACGCGGGTCCAGGTCTGCTAATATACACGCGCGTGCAAGATATGTGTCAATTATTGCCCCATATCGAGCTCGCTACATACGTTGCAATCGCTGAAGCGGGGGCAACTTTAGGTGTATATAAGCCACAGTAAAAGAGAATCAGTCCTCCTTCATATCTACGAAATCATACACTACGTATCGATTCTAGTGTCAACGCGACTTAATCGAAGTTTATAAAATATATTTAATATTGTACATGCATTGTATGCATATCATTCGAGTAGCTTCATAAGTGTAACTTTGTAAATCATTTGTATTGTTTTGTGTGTGCAATCATCGACAATTCCGAATAAATACATGTAAGTTTATTATCATATTTCTGACTTTATACTTCATTCCACGCTACCCCTACGCAACAAGCGACTACAACTATTTAAAAGGTTTCTTGTTATAATTCCGACTACGGAGTACGTAACATCATGACGAATTGACCGAGATATGAGTGAATATCTTGTTTCATA